CATCCTTCCCAGTTTGGGCAGTGGTGTCAATCACAGCCTTGCCCTTATCCATAGACCCCTTTGGGGTCTCGGGCGCACGGAGAGGGCTTTTGCCCTTTCCCTTGGGGTCCCTCCTGCTAGTGGAGAGCCCCGGCTGGGGCGCACGGTGGCACTGCGGGAGAGTGGGCCTTGGCTTATTGCCACTAATGTAGCAATCAGCCGCAATATGTCCCACATGACTGCACAAAGTGCAGAACGCGGGGATCTTCTCATAGATCACCCGCTGAACAAGGGTCTCCGAGCCCTGCTCAATCTCAATCTCGTGGACGGGCTCGACTCTGAGATCTATCTCTACGCAAAATCGCGCCACGTTAGCCCTCGTCTGAAGGGCCATCGGGGCGTCAATACGAATCGGTTGTCCAATACACTTAGCAAGTGTAGTGATGGCAGCACGATCGTAAAGGTGGGGTGGGAGGCCGGGAAGACGGCACCACACGGGGACAACCGGCGTCTCCGTCTTCGGGTTAAACCCGACATAATATTTGAACACCCTAGTTGGGCATCCACACAAATGAATCGAGGTCTTAAGCAAGACCTCGTTATAATCCTCGGGGAGGTGAAACGAGACTAGGAGGTGGTTGAAATTATACCACTTCGACGACACTCTACCCTTAAAACCCAATTTTCCTAATCCAACAGATATATCTCGGGGAGCGGGGATAGCATAAGAAAACTTAAAGACCAGGGTGTTAGCTAACTTACCTGCCAGGCCTTCAGATTCGGCATCAGTGAATCGGGCCTTCACTTTGTTCCCCTCCGAGCGGATAATGGTCCCGCAAGCATGTTCGTATCCCCCGTCAAAGGAGAAATCCTTGGCCGTAGGCCGCGGGGTGCCCATGTCGCCATTTTTCTTCCCCGTAATAGCTTCTCGAAAAGAAAACGGCCCAATGGTTGAGGCCGGAAGAGGCCCGACTGCAACGGGGTTAGCCGTGGGTGGGCCCGTCGGTGTCGTTCCGTTCGGAGGATTTCCAGTGTGATTGGCCGCGGCTTCCGAGCTTGGATCCGAAATCACCATGCCGTCTTCTTGTACGTAAAGCACGGCCTGTTCAGATTCGTCGAAAGAAGTTACTCCAGCAAGGTAGTCAGTCATGGACGGAGCTTTTGGCCGGGCTTCTAGAATTTCTTTCATCAAAGTCATTTCCGAGGCTGCCCCAGATGGCTTGTCCGTCGTCGGTGAAATTCCGATGGTCGTGACCGGCATCGGCGCTGGCGAAGTTCTGGTGGTCGTGTCGGCATCAGCACCGGCGAATGGCAGGTGTCCGACGGCCTCCGGTTGATTGTGTGTGGCAGCTGGAACAGTTTCAGAGGTTTGGCGGGCCAGAGACTGAAGGCAGTTAACGGGCTGGGATTTGGGCATGGTGACGGGCTTGATGGGCTGCAAAGAGGGTTGAATTATAGTGGTCTGAGGTTGTGGGTTGTTAGGTCGGTCGGGCCCATCAAAGGTAAGGCCCAGTACTGGGCTGAGATGGGTGGGTTGTGAACTAGGTTGAGGGATGAGGGCTGTTTGAGAAGCGGGCTGTGGAGAGTCGTGGGCTAGAGTGGAGAATGGTGGAGGGGCTACAGAAATCTGAGGAGTTGGGCTGGGCCTGGGGAAAGAACCGAGATTGGGCTGGGTTGGGTGGGCCTGGAAAAGAGGCATAAGAGAGAGGGAAGGGGCTGAGGGCGATTTAACTAGTCGGCCCACTATGTCAACGGCCATATGATCTCGCGGCTCAACAGAAGCCACGTGTCTGGGGAGCTTAGGGTTTTGGTGAATCATCGAAAAGCCGACATTTGAAACATCTTGGTTGGGCATGGCGAGCTTCAGACCAAGCGGCTTCGGGCCGACAAGATCGGAGAGGATCGGCTGAGGAAGGGAACCAAAGCTAACCGGAGAGAGAATAAGGGGATTCACGATCCCTTTACCGGCGGCCTCATGTTCACCGGAGCTTTGCCTCTCAGCGGGGTCGGCCGTGGCCACGACTAGCGGGGAAGAAAACAGCGTGGCGGCGGTTGGAGGAGGGGGAGCTGGGCTTTCTCCATCTTCCAAGCTCGCAACAGTTGAAGGAAATAGAGCCAAGAGGAACTACTAGACGGCGGGGTGTGTGAGGATGGTGTTCAAATCCGATGTCGGGGAGCAAGTCGGAGGGTGGAGGACTGGCGGTGGCGCTGAGGTTAACAATGGCGGCGACGCTGAGGTTAATGACGATGGGTGGGGCGCTGAGGTTAAAGGCGATGGTGGAGGAGGAGGTTTAGCCATGAGGCCGGTGGCTGACGGCTGGAGGGCCGGCTAGGAGGATGAAGTTGCTAGGGAAGGTAGAAGAAGGTAGGCTAGGTTAGAGAGAGAAAGTTAGAGAGAAGGAGGAGCATTCTCGTCTTTTGTTGCTAGGTTATTTCTTTCTTGCTGCTAGGTTAGTTGTGTTTTGTTGCTAGGTTAGTTGTCTGATTCTGTTAAGTTAGTTGTGTTTTGTTGTTAGTTTAGTTGTTCTTTCTTGCTACCTAGTTGTCTTTTGTTGCTAGGTTAGTTGTGTTTTGTTGCTAGGTTAGTAATCTGATGCTGCTAAGTTAGTTGTGTTTTGTTGTTAGTTTAGTTGTTCTTTCTTGCTGTTTTGTTGCTAGGTTAGTTGTCTGATGCTGCTAAGTTAGTTGTGTTTTGTTGTTAGTTTAGTTGTTGTGTTTTGTTGTTAGTTTAGTTGTTCTTTCTTGCTGTTTTGTTGCTAGGTTAGTTGTCTGATGCTTGCTAAGTTAGTTGTGTTTTGTTGTTAGTTGTGTTTTGTTGTTAGTTTAGTTGTTCTTTCTTGCTGTTTTGTTGCTAGGTTAGTTGTCTGATGCTTGCTAAGTTAGTTGTGTTTTGTTGTTAGTTTAGTTGTTCTTTCTTGCTGCTAGGTTAATTGTGTTTTGTTGCTAGGTTAGTTGTCTGATGTTGCTAAGTTGATTGTGTTTTATTGCTGGTTAATTGTGTTTTGTTGCTAGGTTAGTTGTCTGATGCTGCTAAGTTAGTTGTGTTTTATTGCTAGGTTAGTTGTTTGATGCTGCTAAGTTATTTTTTTTTATAAAAAAATTGTAACCCATAGGATTTGAACCTGGTATCTCATGGAAGCAAGACAAGCAATGCAACCACTACACCACTCAAGGTTGAGTGTTTTTTGTTGCTAGGTTATTTATTTCAATGCAACGGGTCAACGCCGGAAGTCAACGGTCAACGCCGAAAGTCAACGGTCAACGCCGAAAGTCAACGGTCAATGCCGGAGTCAACTAATAATTATTTTATTATTTAATTAATGTATATTTTAATTGATTTTGATCTAAACAAAATGAGTGGCTAAGATTGAGTCTCACGTACTCATTTTAAGGAGTGGTCTCATTGGATCCTATTTTGTAAATTTTATCATGACTTAGATAATGAGCATATTGTATTACAATAATGCTCATTATCATGACTTAGATAATGAGCATATCACATTTTATAAATTTTATCATTTGTAAAAATGAAATATATAAATATAAACTATTTAACTAATATATAAATCAACATATTGATTGTAATACCGTAATTTTTGCAATCTTGATTGCTTATGATCAGTTAATTAGACAAAAATCTTAGAACTATAATTATAATAATTGTGTGCAGAATTTTAGAGTTTGGATATACCATAAAGAATAACAATTTTATACAAAATTGCTTAATGAGTTGGAAAAAAAAAGAGATAATAATAATTTTAAATTAATAGTTTGAAAAAAAGTTTTAAAATAATTTTTTTATAAGTATAAAGTTTCATATATCATTTAGTGCGACTTTATAATTTATTAATAGTTGCCATTATGTAATGAAATAAATAAAAAAATAAAGTTACTTAACTAATGCAAAATGTAACGGGTTCTTTCGAAAATTAAAAGGAACAAATTGATTTTGCATGAAATTTGTAGCCTACAATTATATATATAAATTATTAGTAATTGTAAAATTAATAAAATATTTATCTTAAATTATTTTTTTAGTTAACTAAATGAATAATTTAAGTGTGAATAAAGCTTTTATAAATTAGACAATCAAGTTTATATTATATTAATTTATCATAAAAATAAATTCTCCGTGAGAAATATTATTTGTAAAGATTGTATTACTAGTACAACACCGTGTATTACACGGGTGCTTGTGAAAAAGTTACTCTTAAATTTTAAAATTAATAAGAAAAATTATTTTAAATTTATTTATTTTTTTACAAAAAAATATATATTATTATATATTTTAGAATGACATTTGTTACTTGTGCGACTTACATGTGTTATATTATAGTAATTTTTATAACTTATATAATATAACTACTTGAAATATAAATATATTAATTGATAAATAATTTTATTTTTCTAATTAGTATTAAAAAACAATTTTATTATTGTTTAAAATATAAAGTTAATTTACATTTTTATACATACATGGATGCTAAATCGAAACTCATCAAGAGATGATTAATTTGATATATTATATATGTAAAACTGATAAAAAAATACAAAAGTTAGTGACTTTTATAATACATTTACAATTCAATGGTTATAATAAGAAATGATATTAAAATGCAATTAATACATATAACATGACCATAAATAATCAATATATTTATGGATAGACTTAATTATTCTTGGATTAGAAGTAAATTAAAATCTACTCAAACTTAATAACGAAGCATATAATTTTGCTACATAGGATCCTAATGCCACTTAGGCTCAGCTCGTTCTGAATTAATCTATAGGAAGATTTGATAAATAAGAAAATAATAATATAATTAATATTTTGAATGAAATAAAATATTTATAAACTCTAAATAAAACTTTATGTATATATACCGGAAAATATTCAAGTATAAATAAATTTAAAATTCCAATTACATATATTTATATAAAAATAAATGAATTAAATAATTTTTACATTGAATGTTTAATACGTAATAATTAAAAATATATTTAGATATGTTAATTGTATATTAACTATCATTAAATTTATTGAAAAGATAAACTAAGAAATAAAATATAAACTAAAAAACTCCAAAATAAATATTATCATAATATGTTAGTGATTTAGTAGAAAGTGAAATTTTATTACAGTATGTGAAATTTTATTACAGTATGTGCCATAAGACGAATTTAAAACTACAGTAAAAAAATAAATACAGTGAGTTGAATTCTAGTACTCTGAATGATATGCCAAAATAAAGTGTGTAGACTCTGCTAAATACCTGGGATCACCTCTAGGAATAGGTAGATCCAAGAATAGCACTTTCAAATTTGTGTCTGAGTGTATTTCTAAAAAATTTCTAAATTGGAAAAATAACTTTTTGAATGAAGCGGGAAGAGAAATACTTATTAAGTCTGTTCTTCAAGCTTTACCGACATATGTTATGTCATGCTTTAAGCATCCAATTGGGATTTGTCAAGAGATTTGTGAGAGTAGAGCTAATTTCTGGTGGGGCAAAAATGAGGGGGGAAGGAACAGGATTCATTGGGCTATGTGGCATTTTGTATCCAGAACCAAATAGAAGGGTGGGTTGGGGTTTAGAAATATGAGTGTGTTTAATGATGCATTGTTAGTAAAACAGCTGTGGAGACTTGTCACTAATCCTAACCTCTTGATTAGCAAGGTCCTTAAGGGCAGATACTTCCATATGAGCAATTTGTTTGATGTCAAACCAAAAGGTGGGGACTCTTGGTTATGGAGGAGTTGAGTAGGGGTGATTAAATTTATGAAATTAGGTGCTAGGTATCAGGTGGGGAATGGCAAAAATATTTTGATATGGGATCATCCCTGGTTGCCCAGATCTCCCAATTTCAGTCCAGTGAACTGTTTTCCTGAGGATAAGGATATACTAGTTTGGGTGAGTGATTTGATTAGTGAGGAAAGTGGTGTGTGGGATAGGGATCTGGTGTGTCAAACCTTTTTACCTGAAGATGCAAACCTTATTTTTGCACGTTCCTGTCTCCATAATGGGAAAGAGTGACAAGCTCATTTGGCATTTTGGGAAGAAAGGGAATTTCAGTGTCAAATCTGCCTACAACTTGTTTTAAGAAAAGCATGATCTTAGAAGAGCTGGGGCTTCCTCTAGTGACACTGTTCAGAGTGTGTCTGCTCTTTGGAAATTCACTTGGAATCTTCCTATTAAGAGCAAGATAAAATGTTCCTTTGGAAATGCTGGTTTAAATTTCTGAGTACTAATGACCAGTTGATTAAGAGAAAGTTCTGAGTGGATAGCATTTGTCAATTGTGTGGAGCTGCACCTGAAGATCTGGACCACATATTATTTAGTTGCTCAAGGGCTAAGATTGTGTGGAAGCGGAGTGGAATAAAGTGGCAGGATTTTGATAAAGTTGATATTTCCTTTAAAGAATGGTGGTGAAGTTTAAGAGAAAATTGTTTTTCAGGCAACCTCAAAGATAGAGTTAGTCTATCAACCTATATAATTTGGTGGCTCTAGAAAACAAGAAATTCATGGCTTTTTAGAAAGGAGAAGTGCAGTGAATACCAGATTGTACAGAGAGCTAGAGCAGAATGGTTGGAATATACAGAGATTTCTGATAAACAGGGATGTTGTACTTGTTCTCTGCTCAGGAACCCCTTGATTTCAGAAGAGTGTTTTTCCCCAAGAGTAGGGTAGTGGATCTTCACTGTCGGTGCTCTATACTCTTCAAAGGATCAAGTGGAGATGGCATATATAGTAGAGCAAGAAGGAGAGATGGTGCAGAATGGTTCAAATACTTCTTCTTCGTTCCCCCTCTGAGCCAGTGTGGGCTTGCTTCGCATAGGCTACACAAGCCTTTCGCCGGCTTCTAAAATGAATTTCAAAGAATATCAATGAAAGGCCGAGATGTAGCCTGTGCGGAGCAAGCCAGAACTGGCGCATTAATGATGGCCTTTTTAATCTTATTCATCTTCTGATCTTTGATCAGAAAGAAGCTATCTTTTTGAAGGCGATAGTTCAATTGAGTATTTACTCAATTTCTTGCCTCTGTCTGCTATCGTGGCCTGCTGATCGTTCGACTGAAACGGTGCTATGGAGCTCCGATGCCGATTCCTGGTCCTTTACTGGATGTAATGAAGGCATTTGGTTGATTTCTGTCAGATGGATGATGAAGAAAGCACTGCAAGAAGGCTGGATTAACTGTTGTTTCAAACTGAAAAACAAGGCCCTTGCTTTAAAGTTATCTGGCATAAAAGACTTCTATTTTTGTTGTAATTCCTTAGCCTTTGATGTATTTGAACTAATACCCTCTCTCTTTTTGTGATTTTGTATATTACAGTTACTGTGCTTCTTTTGGGTATGCACTGTGTAATGTAAGCAGACTAATTGAAGAAGTGGTAGTCGTTACTACTTTTGGAACTGGCTGTCAGTTGATAGCTCGATTTGTACATTGACATTGAGTNGAAAACGATAGAAATTCTCATTACTAGCATAATAAGTTTGAATACACTCGGACTAAATCCGAATTAGCCGATAATGGGAGAACCACACGCAGGTGGCCTAAAAATCGACAAAATAAAATTACAAGAAGAAGCAGAGCAGCAACATCATAAGCTGGACCTCTGCTCTTCTAACTGATACAAACATAATCAATACTGAGAGATGACACCACTGCTCCAAGAACCTAGCATCACCTTTTAAGACAAAAGAATGATATCTCTTATTGTTTAGAGAAAAAAAAAATAGACTTTGAATTTCAATGATATCTCTTATTGTTTGGGGAAAAAAAAAAGAATGATATGCCAAAAATAAATAAATAAATAAATAGTTACATAAAATTACAAGCACTATTTATGGCTATAGGCATTGCACGGAAACGGGATAAGATGTTTTAGAATAATAATGATTCAATGAACCAAGTCAGCTACATGGTTCCCCAATTGCTGCACGTCCATTCTCCCGCGTACCGCCAATCAAACGCCGCCCCTCTCTTCATAGATTCCACCAAATAATAAAAACCCTAACCGGCTAAGCGTATTTTTCATCACAGCCTTCAGTTTCACATTATCTGCTAATCCGTTCACCTCCCCCACACATTCCCCGCAGATATCGTTCATATTTCACAATTTAATTACCCAATAAAAATCCTTCATTTTTCCACTTTTCTTCTTCAATCCGGAATATGCTATATAGCGATCCAAATTTTGGAGCTTAGCTTTGTTTATTTGGCAACACCAATGGCCGTAGCTTACAAGGCCGAGGCGCCGGCTCCGGTGGTCACCTCCGCCGCGCCGCCCTCCCTTTTCCCCTCCGTAGCCCTAACGCAGGACGATCTGAAGAAGATCGCAGCTTACAAGGCCGTGGAGCACGTCAGATCCGGCATGGTCGTCGGCCTCGGCACGGGATCCACCGCAAAACACGCCGTCGATCGCATCGCGCATCTCCTGCGCCAGGGGAAGCTCAAGGACATAGTCGGAATACCAACCTCCACGAAAACTCACGAGCAGGCCGTCTCGTTAGGTATCCCCTTATCCGATCTTGATTCTCATCCAGTGGTCGATTTAGCCATTGATGGCGCAGACGAGGTAGATCCAGATCTGAATTTGGTGAAAGGGCGTGGGGGTTCATTGTTGAGGGAGAAAATGATCGAATCAGCCAGCAAGAAGTTTATCGTGATTGTAGATGAATCCAAATTAGTGAAGTATGTTGGGGGTAGTAAACTAGCTATGCCTGTGGAGGTTATCCCGTTTTGTTGGGACCATTCTTTGAAGAGGCTCGTGAGACGGTTTGCTCAGGCTGGGTGCATTGGGGAGCTTAGGAGGTGTCCTGTTAATGGAAAGGCCTATGTGACTGATAATGGGAATTATATTATTGATTTGTATTTTGAGAAGGATATTGGTGACTTGAATGAAGCTAGTGACATGATTTTGAGGTTGCCTGGTATTGTGGAGCATGGGATGTTCATTGGGCTGGCTACTTCTGTTATTGTGGCTGGCATTGATGGTGTTACCGTGAAGACTAAGGTAGGAAATGATATGGAGGTGGATTATTTTTGTTACAATGATTTGAGGAATGGCTTTTAATATGTCTTGTTGTATTAGATTTTATTCAGTTGTACTTGTAGGGAAGAAAGCTCTGGTTTTTGTTGGGGGAATCTTGATTTAGTTTTAGGGTATTGAGAGGAAATCGTAGGTGGTTCGCTTCTTCTTTTCGGCCAATTCATGGGATTGATGTGTTGTGAACCTGCTTTTTGCCTGCTTAATTTAATGAAATGTTAGTTGAATGAATACCTTCTCATCGATTGTGTGTTTACTAGTTTAGAATATTAATGCTCTTGTGGTGTGCTAAGTTGCTTTGAGGAATTATACTTTTTTGCTTATGCTATAAATCATCCATTTCTCATTGCCAAATCGACTGTTTCTTTGGTTGTGAGTTGCATCCTATTAACATGGATATTCTCAAATTTATTAGCATAGATATTATCAAATTTTCCTTCACAGATTTTCAGACATCAGTTTTTACTTTTTAATGTCATCTTCCTGCAATTTACACCTTCCCAAGTGATAGTGGATATTTTCCAAATTAAACAAAATCTTTCACATTTAAAGAACATGCATTCCAGGTTTCCCTCTTCCACACTACACACTACAAACCTCACAAATGCTATCTGCTTTAGACCTTCTTTCGCAGAGATTGGGATCAGTTGGGAGAACATCTTTAAAGCTTCTCCAAAGAAGTGTTTCCGTTTATCTTTTATTTGGAGAGACCGAATTTTTTTCCCACATTTTTCCTTTCACTACTCTCTGGGAGGTCAAGCTTCTGAAACTCATGTTTTAGAATGACCCTATTAGCTGATTTTACACAAAACTTCTCACTTTGATCTGGATGCCACACCAATGAATCAGCATTATGAGTACTATTTCTTAAGGGAATCTTTAAGATAGCTTTAGCCTCTGTTTAGGAAATATATAATGAATTAACTGAGTATTCCAATTCAGAGCATCCCTACTAATAAGCTGATAAACCCATCTGGTGTAGAATTATTATTATTATTATTATTATTATTATTATTATTTAATAATTAGTAGTTACCTTAGAGAACAAGTTAGGGTTATTAGTTTTGAGAGTCTTATATAAAGGACTCTCCTGCTTCATTGTTATTTGGTGAATTTTGAGATTGAATCATATATTGTGAGTTACGTGTGTTTTACGAGAGAGTATCTCGTTTATCCTTCCTATTCGTACGCTTCCCTACATCAGTTGGTATCAGAAGTCAGCACGATTCACGATGCTGTCGCGAATACAAGATGCTGCAAACGACAGGCGTGTCGCCGCCATCTACAACTTGAGCCGCCGGACCAAGTGGTTTGGCCGCAAGCTCGAGATGATGGGTCGTCAGATTGCAGATTTGTCTGCGGAGATCGGGGACATACGTCTAACTATCTGTACCATGGATCGGGACAAGCAAACGTACCGTGACGCCGGCAACCGGGGCGTGTGCGGGGGAATTTGCGGAGGACGTGGAGGCCGTGATCCAAGTGGGGCGCCCCGCCGGGGATCTCCACAACCACCGTCCGGCGATGAAGACGGCGAGGAGACAGACTCGGAGGTGAATCCCTTCGACGATTTTCCATCCCCGCACGTTGAGGCTGACCCCATTGTTGCATACGGCGGCTGTGACATGCGGCAACGGGGCCCGGTCTTCGTGGACGGCAATGATCAACGCGACGATAGAGGCATGCTCGAGGAGGCTGCCGTCGCCGGCGGAGATCGTGCCCGATGCTATTGGGAATGTGATCGAGAATATGGTCGATGAGAGGGCCCGTTTTGCGTTGACATCCCCGAATTTGACGAAGAGCAAGTTGACGGGCCATTGTACGATGGTCCGCCGGTGTTTGATGAAGGACCCGAGGAGGTGGAAGAGCATTTTACCAGCAAAGTGGACTGTCTCTACGACGGTCTGCCGATTTTCGATGAGGAGCCTCCGGAGCCGGAGGAATTCCATCATGTTTCGAGTATCGAAATTCACTTGTTAGAAGAATTGGTAGTTCTTCTGTTGCACAGGCTCGAGCTTTTCTCTCACGGGAATTTGTTGCGGCCTTGCAAACAGATGTTGTTTTTTGGTCACCACGGTGACTTCAAAATTCTGTGTGTGGCTGCTGCATATATGTCTTTCTATGAATTTCAAGGGGGTGATACCATGGAGGTGCAACATTCAACCTTCGTGTTCGACAGTGGAAAACGACAGGGATTATTACCATGGGTTCGCCTCCATACCAGCCACGGGAGCGCGTCGGCTTCGAAGGCGAAGCCTCCGAACCGGGGAGAATGGTGTAGAATAATAATAATTATTATTATTATTATTATTATTATTATTATTATTATTTAATAATTAGTAGTTACCTTAGAGAACAAGTTAGGGTTATTAGTTTTGAGAGTCTTATATAAAGAACTCTCCTGCTTTATTGTTATTTGGTGAATTTTGAGATTGAATCATATATTGTGAGTTTTGTGTGTTTTACGAGAGAGTATCTCGTTTATCCTTCCTATTCGTATGCTTCCCTATATCACCATCCCACCCCCAACCTGCTCTCCACTATGATCAGAAAGTTTAAATAGAGGCAGTGAGGGACTGCCTCCAAGTAACAGTTAGTTTCCTATTTTAATTCTCATACCAGCAGTAATAATTTGGGAAATTTACATCTATCCTACAAGATTCTAAAACAATTGTAAAAATACAATTTATAAACAAATAATTACATCTTTACCTAATAGATAATATATAACTACACTAATGCCTAAAGTCAGTTACCATATTCATTCAACCATCATCCCCCTTTTTATGGGCATGATTAAGAGAGAGATTGACTCATTTAATTTTCCTTTTTATGGACTTGATTAAGAGAGAGATTAACTCCTTTAATTCCTTAATTCGCGTAATTGTAATTCGCGCAATTGTAATTCGCGCAACTGTTCAGGTGAGTATATGTTGGGTTTATGTTGGTATATATTCAGTATATGTTGCAATGAAAAAAAATATCTTCGTTCAAAAATACTATAGCAAAAAATTGTAAATATTTATAAATCATCATGTTCATTCCAACCTCAATCCCTTCACCCGGGTGTGATTTCCGCAACTTGACTAGGAAACAAAAAAAAAAAGCTGATTTGTACATAAAATCATGTATGGTAATTCGTGTAGCTGTCCAGGTAGGTATATGTTGGGTTTATGTTGGTATATATTCAGTATATGTTGCAATGAAAAAAAAATGTCTTATACACATACTGCACATATACTATACATATACTGCACATATACTATGGCTGCGGAAATAAAGAAAACGAAAGGCCTACAGAAATACAAAAAGATGTAATTTTAACGTACTAAATGATCTATACATATACTGCACATATACTATACATAATTACATATACTGCACATATACTATGGCTGCGGAAATAAAGAAAACGAAAGGCCTACAGAAAGATGAGTTATAACACTCTCGCGAGACTTGATAAAAAACACTAAAATGGGACTCAAATATATCAAATTTATAGGTACATAAACGAAAAAAAAAGCGTATCACCAAATAACAAATCTTCTAAAAATCAAACTCCACCAGCAAACAAACACCAGATCAACACAGATCTGCACAACAACACAAACAAACAAATCAAGTGGAAAAAACCCTAAAACACCACCGTCCTATACACACACGCGCTTAAAACCTTCAGATCTCGACGGCGGACCCGAAGACGAATGCCGCGGTGGCGGCGGCGCAGACGACGACGAGTGAAGGCGACGCGATGCCGGCTGGAGACGCCGGAGCAGGCGCGGGAGCCTCCTGCGCGAAAGAGCTTCCGAAAAGAGCGAATTAGTGGCTAGGGTTTATCGCCGTCCGATCGACGATGGAGGTGATGACGGGGTCATCATTGGCGGTGGTCGTTTGCGCCGCCCGTGTTGATGAGGCGATTGGAGAGAAAAATCACGTAGATTGTGAATTGCGGATTGGAGAATAATGAGAGAGAAGAGAGGACTCCTTGATATTAGAGATTAATTATCTCAATTAATCTATATCTGATTCAATTTCCATATTTAAATCGTAATGAATAAATTTAAAAAATCTAGTATATGTGTAAATATGTTTGGGTGATTTTGTATATTTGTAAATAAATATTAATTGGGTATAAATATGTAATATAAAATGTATTTGAGAGTATAGGGTGTAAATTCCTCTAATAATTTCCTAACTTCTCCAGGCCCAATAACAGTTTCCTTTGGCAGATAACTTATGCCTCCTCTCATCATGGGCATATTTGGCTTTAATCAGCCTATTCATAAGGCAGTGAGGCTTACAAAAGACCCTCCGGTTGCTTGGTATGAAAAGCATCAATTAAAGCTTTTAAATTTTGGAAGTCTAAGCCTCGATCCACTTTGGGTGAAGCCAATTTATCCCAGCTCACCCAAATGAATTTTGCTTTTACCTTCACTAACACACCGCCGAGATAGAACCCAGATGCTTAGTGATGACAAGAGGCATCTTAAAGCAAGACATAACATAGACAACTAATTCATCATAGCCTTAATCAACCTCTTGGTTAACTTACATAAACCTTACATCCCAT